TCTGGCCACATACCTGGGATCATTTGTGTATAAACAGTCAGTCGCATCCTTTTAGGGATGGTATGTTGCTGAAGTTTTTCTTTTTCTGGCGGTGTGTTAGCAGTGTCAGATTCCAACGGAGAGTTTAGGTCTACACTGTTAGGCCCAGGTCTACCAACATATTCTCCTTGTGAAAGCGCGTTGTTTTTCTCTTTATTTACATCACTTAACAAATACTTTACGACAGGGTTCATGCTTCTCACCTCCAATTCGTTCTTCTTTTTCCTTTTGCGAGCGGTATCTATGACTGTTCACGTTTTGAATCAATGAAACGCAATTTTTATGTGAGCACGACTGAACGAGCAAAATGTATATGTGATGACGGTGCATACGCTGGATGTCTGTTTGCTTGCACACGAGCAAACCATCTCTAGGGAAGGGGGGCATTAGAAAAGTTTATGGTATGATTTAAATGCAAAAATTCTTGGTGTGCATTACGAAAATATTTCCAGCACTCTGGCTGTGGACAACCGTCTGGGTTGTTTTCTCCTGTCGGTGGCCCTGGGCGTAATTAGTATATGTATTCTCATATGGATCAAGATATTGAGCAACATTAATTTATGCCAGGAAGGCCTAAGCTAATAATAATTATCGATGGTGCCTGCTGTTAATAAATAAATAAAACGGTCACTATCATCTTGCACTGTAGGCTTGGCACTAGTTTTAGTGTCTGAATAGGCCATGTTGGTGTGACTTTCCGAGTTCAGGTGGTCCTCGTTACAGTAACGATCCCATCAACTCGGTTCCAATTCTAAGTAACCGTTTGACTATAAACAACCTTATTTGCTTAAATTTCATGATATTTTAATACTAGAAATAAAAGACCTTATAACACTCAACTGCAACTGTACCTCTTTCATGATTTTTTTTTATAAAGAGAGAGTCAATATGTTCTCCTATCCTTATGTAGGGTTCTTCCAGTTTCCCCTGTGTACATATGATGGCAGATGTTACATGTGAGCTCATAAACAATAATGGTGACAAGACACCAATCTTTAGATGGGAAACACGCTTTTGTAAGACAATGGGTTTTATTACATCGTAGGGTAGTGTACTGAGATTTTAAAAGTACTTTTAGCAAAATCAATATATTTATAATTTATTTATATATATTTATCAAGTTACTTCACCAATACCTGTGGTATTCTCAGATGTACTATAAAAGGTTGAGTATGTTATATTAAAATGATTTTAGAGCCTCATCACATCATTACAGTCCATGTCTGGCCATGCTCTGTCTAATGACTGTGTATCTTGAAAATAGTCCTGGTGGCATACTTTCCATTGCAAAAGTCTATTGTAAAGCTGTTATGTCCACAGCATACCACTCCTCCCCTTCTTGCTTGCTTTCCATAATTCATCTAATGTACGAGGATGACAATTTCCCAGCACTAGTTTCAACAGTCCAATCACACAGAAATCCATAAATGCTGCATCCTGCAACTTAATTGGTGGGCATGGAATAGCCTGAATACACATTTTATTCTCCAGCTGTTTGTGGTATGTGATGGTTGAATGAGAGGCATTACTGGAAACCTTATCTTGGTTAACCCATACCCTGTTGGCCTTGTTTCTGTACATAACCGGTAATTTTGTGTGGTACAAAGGGTCCAGATATCACTGGTCTTATAGTAAACAGAATTCTCCTTGACTTTTGTGTCTATTCTTCTGACTCCCAACTTGCTTCTGGTGCAGAAGTAATTGATAATCAAAAACCCCTTCAAAAATGTTTTATGACATGTTATGTACCACTTTTTTGAAATTTTCTGTCTTCCATTGACTGGTATAAAGTAGCATAAGATTTTTTACATATATCAAAAGTACACATATGCTTCGTCATGTGTCACACATACTGCCATTTTTCTGTAGTTGGTCTTACTTTCCTGGATGGGACAATGGAAACAACTTGTATACATGTGGCTTGCGTCACTTTTCGACGTAATAGTAGTAACTGAAGATAGGCAGAAAAATGCATTGCTGAATTAAATCTTTGTTTCCTACCGCACTAATTTGAAGAGATTGGACATAAATTTTACATTAATAAAAAAAACAAGAAAAGCATTATTTTCACTCTATAAGACACAGGACAAACAAATACAATTCAATCAAACTTAAGATGCCTTATGGGATGAAAGACACTTGCACTTCATTCTAGGTATGTATACTTCTTACAAAAGGGTCAATTTTTCAAATTACACATGCCACCCATGTGGCCTAGTCATCCCATAAGTTAGAACAGAGAGAACAATCTCCAGGTATTCATGAACTTGTAACATAACTGACCATGCTAGAGAATGAACTAATATAAAACCAGAGAAATATCCAAAACAATCTTCCATGGAAGATTTTGTAAACACCACAAATGACCTATGACAATATGCTATTGATTAAAGAATTAGATCAATACATACCATATTCAATTTAACTGCATGATTAATATATTGTGTACATTATTCAAAATGATTATAGAAACAGTGAATTCAATGAGTATAAAATGGCAATAATTATGAGATTGCTCTCTCTACTGTATGAAAATGAACTGCACCACAGTAGTCACATGCTGATACTTTATACTGTGAGTGGCTGTCATATAACCAATCAGACAATGCCAAACAAGTATGATGCTTATAAAAGTACAAGTAGTTATATTATTTCTATGGTAGTATGATGTATACACTCATGGCTCCTTCAACAGAAATGCCACATCATAAACATAGAAATCAAAGGCTAAATTTCTTGTTTCCATATGAGCTATATGGAAACTGAAGAAGGTACATGGAACCTGTACTGTTCACAATGTATATTATCAAGGTAAAAAGCACAAACTTTTCTAAAATGATGTTAAGTAACTCAAGGTATGTCCTTTATATGATACTGAAAGGCCAATGACCTATTTGTAAATACAATGTTACCTCCAGAAAGATAACATACACATTAAGTGGATTCATGGATATGTAGCTGCTGAAAACCCACTGCTTAGGAGAGCTAACCAAACTAAAAGGCTGAAATGAGCATCAGTTTCAAACAATGGGATGAGTGAAGCTGGAGGAGGGTACTCTTTACAGATTAATTCAATTTGTTTGGTAGAAATCTATGATAGATTTCTACCAGAGAACAGCATAACAGACACTGTACAACATCTACAATAAAGCATGTTGGGAGAACTATACAAATGTAAGCTGCATCCCAGTCAATGGTGTTATAGTTCTACATTAAATCAATGGCACCATCACTGCTGATGAGTACAAGTAGATATCTTATTTATCAGGTCATTCCCTCAGGAACAAGACCTGTTGGGCAGAAATTCATATCCCCCCCCCCCAAAAAAAACAATGATCACAAGCTTGCAGCAAATTTTGTGATGATGCCTTGAGCAGACAAAGAAAAAAAAAGGAAACCCGACAGAACACTCACAACCATGGTTTAGCTTGCATAAAGTCCAAATATAAATATATTAAAGCTGTATGGGCCTATATTGTGACTAAGAAGGTAAAACAGTGAACAAACAACTTCACTAAAATGTGAGAAGTAATGTAGAACATTTGGAACAATATTTCACAATCTTACATTGATACACTTACCAAGATGTAGTGATTTGTTTAAAGCAAATATAAAATACTAGTGCATAGTATGACATACTCAATTTTATATTTTCTGTAATAATGTATTGTAGTAATCATAAACCTTTTAGTTACAATTACTGATTGTTTCCACCTGCTGTATGCACAATACCTATGTTTCTATAATCACATGCAATAGTTCCTTGCCATGACGATCTTAATTCTAACTAGTTTAGGGTTGGCTGGTATATTTTTTAAGCCAAAAACTTGAGTGGCCAACCCAGATATAGGATGAGCATGTTTAACAATCTGGATTTGATCTTGCAACCCTCAGATTGAAAGTCAAGTGCCCTAACCATCAGGCCTAACTATATCCTATTCTGTATGTACAAAAAAAAAAAAATAGAAAATATTAATGAATTAAACCTATTTACCTATGCTAAAAGGATACATTGTAGTTTAATTAGACCACACACACCTTCATTTTCTTTGAACATTATGTATTAGAATATGAATCTATTAATTGCATGGGCAGGTCTCATCATATTCATCATCATAATAGCAAGATTTGTATTTAATCTGTATTTAATTTGCATTTGTGTCTTCATGAATTTTAAGAGTTTTCACTTACATTACTATCTAATCATCTGCTAAGTTTTTTGGCAGTGATGAACTTGCATGAATATATGTTGCTTCAAATGTATTCCACATGAAGGAAAATTTGTCTTCAATAAAAAATCATGGAAGAGAGTATAAAGTTTACTCAGCTTTTGAACATGTAAAAGTTGTGTAGGAATGATATATTTTATGCAAAGACCAAAACAGTGCTATAATGTTTGATAAAATTAGAGAAATTATGAGTATTCTTTTGTATATTACACTGATGTCAGAAGTTTGCCCACTCCCCCTTTCCAAATCTTGACAGGTTTATGATTTCCCTAACTTCAATTGAGTTTTTGATTTAGAATAATGACTTGCATATATACAGATAATGATTTTAAAATAAATTTGGTAGGTAGAGTTATAAATGATCATGCATCTATTTTTTTATCCTTAACTCTTATTTTCACATCAGTTTCACTTGTATCTTTCCTTCATTCAAATTGTAAAACTTTCCTAAATATCCTCAAAACCTCTAATTCCTATCTGCCTTCAGCAGATTAAGTTTTGAACTGTCTTCAATTTTGCCACCCCACCCCACACACACTTTGCTTCCGAGACCTATGCATTATCTTTGTAAAACACATACTACACTAGATTAAGCTTGATCACTATCATTTTTATTTGAATTAACACATCAGTAGTATCTTAATACATAATAAAATGCTATACAAATGTTTCCTTTCTTGTAGCAGAACATAAGATCTAAAGTTCTCAAGATTGTTAGCTAAATTCTTATGATGAACTCTATATGGAACGTTATGGTTTCAGTTTTTTTTTTTATAGCTTCAAACTATAAAAGCATGAAAATGAGCTGTATGACAACATCTTTGCTACACTTCTACATTACTTATAATAGTCATTATTTAAGCAAACTAAGTACCAAGACAATATTGTGCAACGTTTTTAAAGATACAGTGTGACCTGAAATAAAATCTGCCATAGTGAAATTACTAAATGAGTAATTATTTTAATGCTCCTTAAAAACTAACAACTAACCCAGTTGAAAACTTAAAAAATAAAATAAGTAAAGGTCATAATTTGATTAGTGAAAATATTTGGTTAATGTGATTTGAAAATGCACAATTCATGCTATTTTAAGAGAGATATGTACATTACCAATATGCAGTACTCACGAAGTAAGATAGTTTCAAACTTGATTGTTTCAATTTGGTCTTATTTAATGGCATTGTGTACATAAAGATACAAACTTTATCATATATTACACATATTGAAAGTAATTTGTAAAATCATTTAAAGAAAAAAAAAGTCAATTACAAGGCCTAATAATTAATCAAAAAACTGACTTTGCAAAACTTTTTTACCAGAATTATATTACTGTAATTCACCTCTATCATAGATTTTAGATTGGATGATGAAATTATGTACACTAGTGAAGTATAGTTTGAATCTTTACACATAGCTAAGTTAGTTGTATATTTGACCATACACAGTCTCAACCTAATGTATACAATACTTTATTACTGCTGACCATGTTTCATTTACTTCAATCTCATCTGTTACAGTTACAGTATGGAAGATTAAGAATGCATTTATTACAAATGCACAAATATTTCTCCTTTGTTTTTCAACAACTACACTGGCTTACTATCATCAGTTCACAACACTCATGTACAGTGTACAAGAATAATACTGCCTAGCAATCCAAGTATATAAGGTATAACAAACAGTTTAAAACAGATGCAAGTGTTTCTTGAATAAATACTTCAACTTGGAATTATCATTAAAGGAACAAAATAATACTAATACATAAATGAAATCCCCAATGTGAATGCAGCCCTCCCTGTTTTTAATGTACACTGTATTTGTGAAAAGGAAAATTGAATCAATGCACAAACACATTTGAATACTTCTTAAATGGAAAAATATGATTTAAAAAGTTTTGTAAATAAATACCTTATTTTGAAAAAGTTATACTTAAATTCTAAATAAACAAAGGCTTTCATACAGAAACTCAAAGCTTTTGAGAGAATGTTAATGTCCTCTATAATATCATAGAAAAAAAATTCTCCTCACAAAAAAAAGGCTATATATGCTTCACTAGGCATTCCAGGAAAGGCATATCAGTCTTGGAGGAGACTAAATGGGTGTGTGCTGTTTTGAGCTAAATTTTTTCTAGCTATCCATCACACCAATTAACTTTGCTAAACCATACTCTCATACTGTGGAGGAAGTTCTTTAGTTATTTCTTCTGTGGGTTCTTGATTTAATGAAATTTTTCTGCAGGAAGTTGAACTAGCACTATTGTGTAAGCTGGCAACTTGGGTCTGATTAAACCGACTGGTCATTAGGCTAAGGCTTTCTTTATACAGCAAGCGATGTTTGGAGTGGGCTGGGCCCCATTCAGGAGATGGTCGCAAACACTCAAGCAACCTCTAAAATAAAATATGGTATAAAAGTATATTACCATACAGTTATAGTAAAAACTGTACAATAACAAGTTAAATGTCAACCCTAGTTAAAAAATATATATATTAAAAGACTCCAGCGGAAGAAAGGATAAAGTAAAATGATCATAGGTAATTTGCGTTACAGAAAATGGTAAATAAAAAAAACTTGATGACCCAAGCTATTTTGGAAGAATAGGCTTTATCAGGAAGAAAATGGGATAGAAGAAAAATGGAAAACATGTTGGCACACCCTGTAAAACAAGGAAATGTGCACCATGTGTCAAGATGAGGAGGAGACAAGACAGAAAAGGTAAATATGAATCAAAGAAACTCATTGAATTAAAATAAACAGAAAGAACAAAGGAATAAATTATTAATAGACATTTTACAAAAAGAAACTTAAAACTATATCTAATTATTTAGTTTGTACATGGGTAATTATAAGAAATAGGAACAGACTAACACTTAACAAATCAAAGCTAAAGTTCAAAAACTAAAAAAAATCTGACCCAGTACAAAAAAGTTTGTGATGCAATCTTCAGTTTTCACTTAACATTTTTAAGTTAACTAGTACTTGAGTTAACTCTTATCAAAGGTTGTACTGAACTAAGATTCTTGCAGTTTAGCACAAACACAAAATTCTAAGATATATAGTCTATGAACAATTCAATACTAATAAAAAATATTCTGTTTAAAAACATGTGGATATTTTTTTAAGTAAAATAGATGCATTTTAAAACTGGCTGAAATTCTGTTGCAATATGTTTAATAAGTTGTGGATAATTACTTTCCTTAAATGTTTAATGCATGAACTATCGGCAAGTACTGAAAAGTTTTAAATTATAAACATTTATTACAACTTTTTTTGTGTGTCATACTATTTGTACAAGTTATTTCTAGTAAATCAGTGATCAGCAAAAATCATGTATCTACATCATCTACAGCAACAAATGGTTTCTTCAACTATTTTCTAAAGTGTTTTTTTTTTTTTATAATACCACAGAAATAATCTGTACAAACTTCATTTAAGGTAGATAAACAAACTACAAGTATAACCTATGCAGCTATGGAAACCCACCTGTTTAAAAGTACCTTTAGCTTTGTACATATGTAATACTGCATAACCAGGAATAGGAACCAATGATGACATTGCTATACACCAGCCTAAACCCACAGACCAAGTGGGATAGACATATTGGTTATAAGTAATTGTTGTGTGGTTGATCATGATGAACAACAGAAGACACTGAAATAGACAAAAATTTGTATGTATTATATTTTTGAACTTCAAACTACTCACTCAATTCACTATTATAATATTTCTATTCTTCACCCACTAGATGCGGCAAAGGGAATTTAATGATATCCTCGTTTATACAATAAACACTGAAACATTAAGGTTGCTTGTAGACAACTGACACTTGGATTGTTACATTATAATTATTATTGTAATTTCTTTTTAAGAGTTTAGTGTGTCTAATATCTCACATGAGATTGTATACATAGTTAAGACTACACAGCTGCAGTTCTTAGCTTTTTTATGCCTTGATTGTTGTTGTAAACAGTTTTGTGTTGAGGAAGTAATCAGTCTAGAGCCAAAATCCACAAATTAAGAAGAAACGGAACAGTCGACACAACCTTTAAGACTTTTCATATTAATAATCTTATTGGTAGTGTTAAAAAAAAAAGAAAACCAAACATCAGAATTATTATAATAGTAAAACACTATTTAAAAAATCTTTTATATATAAAATATGACTAATTTTTTTTTGAGAGGAAAGATTTCATGCCACAAATGTTTTACCCAATGAAGCAGTAAAAGAAAAAATAACAACAAACAAGTAGTTTGGTATCACCACTTATAAAGAAAATAATTGAACTACACCACATCATAACTTCTACTTACAAAAATAGTAATTGGAGTGATATAACACCAACACAGTTTCCACCACAATGGAAGAGTACGATTAAGCATAATGTTGATGTCCAGCATAAAACGTTCTACACCTTCAGTAAAAAAGTAAGTATTTTAGGGATCAAAGATATGATTCAGATACTGCATGACCTTACAAAACATTTAGATACAATAATGTCATTTTATAATGAAAAAGTAATTATGAAGAAAATGGCAGCAGGTATAGTTGCTTAAAAAATGAAATGTACACTTATTTCACATATACTTTGTTATTTGAATATGTTTTATAATTTCTTATAATAAACTGAACTTTTGCAATTAAGAACTCGGTACCTACAACGGTACATTTTTGGAATACATGAATAAAACCATGAAAAACAAATTACTAGACAGAATATTTTAATATTCAGTTAACAAATGTGCTTCAATTCATCACAAACAGTTCTCCTCTTTACTTGACTTTCACGTGCAAGTTTATCAAAATTCAGAGAAATATTACACAATTTTCAAAGATATAATAACGAAAATGTTTTACAGTATTTAGATTTACAACACTGTTCAACTAACTAACATTTAAAAGATTCATTGAACCACAATTTTTTTAATTTTTGTGCACAATGATTTTTAGGAGAATGGGTGGAATGATCAGCAAACTTTTTAGCAATACATGTATTTATAACCTATATATTGCGATATTGAAAAGTATTACACACAAATTGAAAGCAAAAACCCAAAGGGAACTAAAGTTGCAAGGTTGCATTTAAGAGCTACATTATTGCCATGAAAAAAAAAAAACTAGATAGCCCAAAGGCAATAACAATCAAACATAAATACAAGTAATCCACAACAAATGCATCAAATAAACATTATATATTTACAAATAAATCCATGTTTACTGAACTAAAATTCATTGCTATTGACTTTTGGCTTTTTTTTTTTTGAAAAAGAAAAACAGCACGAGTAGCAACGAAGAATGGCAGATGACCGAGAAAACAGAATACTAATTTTGTGGTTTTTGGTTAGTTGATGTTTTGTTGACAAGTGTAAGTATGGTTATGTTTAATTCCACAGGCTACCTGATATGTTAAATACACCTTTGCATAAAATACTATAAAAATATACAGAAATTTATGAAAACTCTCCGGGAAAGTTTTCTATATAAATAGTTATTTCATTTATTCTCAGGCTTTGTTGAAAACCAAACCACATAAAAGCTCCATGGCACTAACATGCAGAGCATAAGCAAATGAAATAATTACTTATGTGGAGAAATCTACCTTTGTTTTAATGTTAAAACACATTCCAGTCACACACACACACACACATATATATATATATATATATATATATATATACACACACACAAGAAATTCTTACCATAAACCCAACAGATCACAATTGTCTCAAACAAAGCAATTATCATCAGGGAAAATGTGGCACTGTACCAGTCCATGAGTTGAAGAAAATACATTCCTCCCTAAAATTAACAAATTGCTTGTTATTACACTCTTGCATTTTCTGGCTTTGATTCACTGATAAACAGCAAATTTAAAATTTTAATCTTGGTGCACATTGTTAAATACTTATACATTACTAAAATTTCAAAGTACACTAAATACTAATAGAAGCTACAGTTCATTAACAATAGTCTTGTGCATTCTTAATACACTTACTGCCTTACTCAAAATATAAAAATTATCCACACCATCTACTTTCATATAAACCTTAGTACCTAACTTCTTAACTTTCTTTTAAAGCACCAATTATCACTTTATTCATATACTGTGTAAAGAAATATTAAAAACTCAAAATTATGTTAACTCATGTTTAAGGGTGACATTCAATTAATTCAAACAATTATGCATCCTGATAAGACAGGTTGAAATTTCCTATATTTTCAATGTAATCCTTACATTTTCAGTGTCAATAAAATGATTAAAATATCTGTCACAGCAAAATTAGTTTGGAATGGTAGTCAGTAATAACAAGCTTGCAGTTATTTGCTATTGTATTTCTAGTATCTTTGACATCTTACTTATTCTCTGACTAACACAATGAGCTATTGATTTCTGTTTCAGGCACTTTTATGCTTTCAGTTAAGCTGATCCTTATACTATGAATTACATGTATTATTCTGTACATTGAATCTTTACTTAAGTTAAGAGTGAATATAATAACCTAACACTATATGAAAATATAATAATTTTTTTTTCATGTCTGAACTTCAACTTCCAGCAACAATCAATACATTTTAATCAACATCATATTAATTATTTATTTTAATTTATCCCTACAGCACAATAAACATTCTGTGTAGAATTATAAAGAGTCAAGAAAGGAACACCTTTAGAAAAATCAAGTAAATTAAATGTCAAAAAAGAAGTTTACCCTTGTAACGCAGGGAATTCCTAAGAGAAATAAGACAATGCTCATGAAAGCTGTCAGGGCTATTTTCTTATTTTTGAAAAAAGTTGGAAATTCATCCACAAATGAGCTGACAAGTGCTTCAAACATTCCAAACTACATAGAAACATTTGAAAAACAAGAGTAAAAATTGTGTTTATTTCTGAAGCATAATTATCCTGAAAATAATATGTAATTAAACCATATCCAATGAGCAAGCAAACAAGTAAATGGCCATTTACTGTTGTAGTATTTTCTTGGAATGAAGAAGATCACAGAAAGTCCCAAAACTGGAAGAGAAAGCTATAGTCTCCAAGTTGTCTAGAAGAAATTGCATTGGATAGTTTTATTTTCAAGAATAGTGGAAACAAACAAATTTTACTACAAGAAATACACAAACACTGATAACATTGTTGTTTTTGCACAAAATCTTCATATTTAATATGCAGAATATCCAGAACATTTCAACTTTTCTGTAAGGTAGTTACAACAACTTATAAACAGGGGTCGAAAAATTCCAAGTATTGTAAAATTCTTCTGGAAAAAGTTAGCTGATCTCTTCATATTTTCAGTTATGTATACCATGTACTCAAACAAAATAAACACCCCTTAAGTTAGGATAAAACTGCAACAACTATAATCATAGCTTTTGCCCAGTTTGTTCTGATGCTAGAAAATGAACAAAACACAACTACCTTTTACTGTATTGAAAATGATGATCACACTTTCACACAACATGCATTTGTTTTAATTGACAATGAAAAATAACAAGATCTACCACCAAAACATTTGGCTCTTAGTTATTAAACTGTTTTTAATCCAGTTTTTAGATTAGTGTGTCCATAAAATTTTAATAGACTACGTTACTTGATCTCTCAGAATTTGATTGTACAACTTTTCCATTTAGGAAAGTATTTGATACCAATATTTATCTTCTTTATTTAAAACATATACTATAATTACAATACCTATATATAGTAAAACTATTCAGAGGAAGACACGTTAATCGAAGTTATCTATTAGAATATTTTCTTCTTTCATAAAGATATCACAAGTATAAAAAAGGTTGATATTTTTCAACTGCATACAAGGTATCTTCCCCAAACCACATACTAACGTATTTGTTTATAAAAATAAACTTCCTTCAGTTACATATTTTGTATTTTGTTTTAAATTTTAAAATAGAATAAAGACTGTCTTCCACTAAATATGAACACAAAAAGCCTTTGATACACACATTAATGAAACTTATAGTACACACTAAAAACTAACCACATTGAAAAAAAAACACATTGTAAATGAATTTTACATTAGTGTGCAAATTTCACAGACCTGATAGTTGCATGTTTTCATAAATACATATACCTCATCTTCCTTGATATCAACAAGCTGCTACTACACATCTTGACCATGCTGTTCATGTATGTAACAGCCTCATACATGTATAATTGGCATACATAAATATTCAGATGATACTTTGCTCTTATGTTTTAGTATCCAGATTTACCATCAAAACTAAAGGTATGCATACAGTTACAGTTGTTGAAAATGATGAAAGTTTTATAATAAATAGTAGGACTGGACAATCTACATTCACTTTCAATAGAATTTTCTTGGAATTTCCATAGAAAGAAAACATTATACCATGTAATATCTCAGGTGATCTGACAAATTTTAAATTTTTCCAAGAAACAAATCTTGTTAATGATTCCAGAGGAAGTTACTACCAGTATGCAGTTACTAACTCAAGAAAATTAGATTTATCAACCTTGAATTTTTCAAATTAATTTTTAAAACACATGTTAGTTTTAAAGAATGTGGGACAAGAAGAAATTAAGTTTTAATGTGTTAATTCAAGGCAATTAATTTTAATGGTTTAAGATTCAGATTGTTCTCTACAAGATGGAGAACTAAATCAAAGCTTTTACATTCAGAAGTTTCACTGAAGATAAATAAGATTTATAAAAACATCAGCTCATGTACCAACTTCAGATTATTACTTTCTTTTCTTAACTCTAGTATGAAGTTGTAAGATTATCATAGCAGCCAGTTGATGCCATTTTAGTAGAAGTACTTCTATAAAAATCTTTAAACAATGTTATTTACAGGCCAAGACTCAAAAAGCTTGAAAAATCAAGTGGACACTATGAATTATAGTTAACTGTGGAAAGCAATTTAAGTGAAGTGAAAATTATTTGTTATAAATTAATAGTGATATAAATAACAAGAAAGCATTATGATGGTTACAAAAAAAAACGTGCAATAGTAGTAAAATTTGTTAATGGCTGCACTTTTCCTTCTGATGAGTGTAACAGAAAGATTTTTTATTAGAAAAACTTTGTAAATGTGTACATATACTTATCACTTTTTACAAGTTTTCCTCATATATATTTTTAATAGAAATGCCTTTCTTAGCTCTTAAGAATAAGATTCTGCTGAATTTTTAACTAATAAAACAAATCAACTTTAGCTGATCTCTATAAATAAGATATTCTGCAACCTGATAAACCTAAATCTTAAAGACTCTGATCTTACACATTAAATAAAAGGAAAATATGTTTGAGTTACTTAAACACTAAATGTATCTTTATGAAGCACAAAACATGTAAAGTAAACAATTTTGAGAAACAAGATATATACACAATAGAATTCCTCTAATTCTAAATTTTTTTTTTCTTTTTTGATTGCCCAATGCATTCACAGCTACAGTTTCCTGATTGAGTGAAATTTATAAATTTAAATTGAAAGTTCACTTTTGAGGGATAGGATCATTTTTAGACATATATACATTTCTTCTCTTTTTTTGGGGGGGGGGGGGTATTAGGTGTATTACAAGCTACAATAATGCAATCAACTTGATAAAATTTTGTTCTTAAACCCATCTTTATACCTTTTAATTTATATGAGACATTGTCCAAATACATTCTGTCTTCATAAAAGAAAAAATTGTTTACTCATTCTGTACTTGGAATAAGTTCAAGAATAATTGCTTAGTTGTTAAAACAATACAGTATAGAAAAATTATTTCTTTATATCTTGAATTGGAGGACTCTAAAATGATGATAGTTGTAACATTAATACAATTTTAAATATCATCAATACAAAATCTATTTTATACTTAGCTTGGAGGAATATGATTGCATCATAATCTACAAATAGATCTTGTACATTTGCTAGAGTAAAAGCCAGATACAAGTTGGAACCATCATATTTAGTTTGTTTTCTTATGAAGAAATTGTTGAACTTGAATCTGTACTTTTATGCTTGCAATATTTGTATGACTTCTTATAATACAACAACCTTCATCTAATATTCTTTTAAATTAATGTTGCAGCTTTTGTTTCACATTTTTATCTTAAATTGTAAATTAATAATGAATATCAATTATTTTCTTTTAATATTCAGCTCCTTTTCCAGAGTATACATTTCAAATGTAATTAAATTCAGGAATTTCGACCTCTGACATTACTAAAATCTCTTTCTGTATGTCATAAACCTGGAGACTATAGATAATGGATTGTTAGTTATAGTACAGTAACAGATATTTTTCATTAATAAATTATATACATATATCACTTACAGTCAAGGGCAGATCCAACATATTACTGAAGAATGAAAATTTCAAAACATTAAGAATTATGAGGAATTTTAGCCACAAAGCAGTTAAAAAACGAGTGAAGCAGTGGTCAGGCAAAATACCATCCTCCAAAAGTGGTAACAAATGGCATTATATGTGAAATTTTAATATCAAACATTATACCAGCAGAATTAACTTAAAAATCCACTTTCAAATTAGTTGGAACAAAGAACATGTAAGAAATGGAAAAATTATACATGCAGATTATATGTACTGTGAAAAAACATTCTGCAGTGCAATACATGGTTACATCGCAGAATATGTCGAAGCATCCTATGATGATTATAACACAAGTGAACCGTGAGCTGTAATTCTAGTATAGTGATTTATACTGTGTTCACGATTAATTTCCAATACCAACCAATGCAAGTTACAATGAATTGACTTGAAAAAAAATTCACGCAAAGACTTTTGTGGTTTTTAGATGCTTCATTTGAACTTTAGTAGTTCATAAATCAGAATAGCCAAACAAAAGGAGGGGTGCACTTAGAGTGCTCCTGTCTGAATCTGCCCTTGACAGTGCCATAATGTTCAAAAACAACTATACCCATACAGTATCATAAACAATAGCTTTAAGCTTGTATTTATCAGCTTAAAGCATTAGACAATTTTTTTATTTTCGAATTTTGTGTATCAAACCTCTTTATGCTTAAAAACTTTCTTGCACTTCCTCCCAAAATTACTGTTCATATAAAATATAACAACAACACAGAATAGCTTCATAAAACTTGTGCATCTTGCATTGATGCCCAGCCACAAGATGTTGCTCTCCATTCTGTCATACAGATGATGCTGTGAAAGTTACAGACACTCATCAAGTCTGTTATGTATTCATTACCTGTGTGTCATTGAAGATGTACTTTTGCTTCTGAAGGAGTACTGACTTGTTGATAAAGGCAAATTACTCCATATTGTCAACCAGGCTAAACAAGGACTCCCTACATCATTTTGTCAACCTGGCTATTACAAGGACTCCCTACATGATAGGTAAGACCGTACGTAGATACTTATTATTTTAGGTTTTTCAAATGCATTGAACATTCAAAACAAATACACTTAAAACAGATAAGCCCTCTTTTTTTTCTGTAAACATAATTAAATGGTACTTTTCAAACATTTTTCTTTCAAACTCAGATGTATGTTGATTATAAATTCATTCACTTTTCACATTTGTAAAAAATAGTTTAAACATTAACGAGTATTCAATAAATAACAGTGGATCATAACTTTTGTGTTAAAATTTCATTTCACAAAAAATACTTTAATCAAGAAAATGTGTCAAAATAACTGGGATATGCCACAAAAACCAGCAAAATTAATCACTATTAAAAGTATGAACAATAAACACTTCTCTCATTCAGAGTATAGAATATAGTAACACTATCTAATATCTTTTAATCAATTATTCTTAATAACTTCACCAAAATGTATCACGTAAATAAATATAAATACACACTAGCTGAACGAGA